GGCAGAATTGGCGACTCTGCGTTGTTCAAATCTTCCACATGCTACACGTGATTATTCTACTTGTTTTGGTGTTCTTTTGACTGATCCCTCTGAGCTCAGATCCGGGACAACAACCGCCGCAGCTCCAAGCAGGGCCAGCTGATCGGCGCAAAGGCCCAATCCGTCAAGCACATCATGGAGCAGTTTGATCCCCGGGCTTTGAAAGCAATCATCAGCTACACGGTGCAAGTTGGCCATGACAAAACACCTTGGTCTGATGATTCCCTCAGCTCGAAGAAAGTCCTACCAGGGTTCCAGCGCCCTGGCAGCAGCTGTTGCGTGATGATGAAGTTGCCTGAGTCGGTGAGCCTGCAGAATGCATTCATTGTGCCTCAGCCAGGTTCAAGTCACAAGGCGGCCCGGTGTGGCAGGCCCGCGGAAAAGTTACCCAAGACAGCAACTTTGTCATGGTCGCTTGGCTTGGGATGCATGATAAGAAGTGCATGGTCAGCATAATATCATGTGGCAAAGCAAAGAGAAACATAGTTTTGACGAGTCGAGGTGAGGCGACAGATGGCCATGTCTAGCGCTGTGCCGCTATCCATGCGGAAGAAGATGGATAAGAAGGAGACGGAAAACATTGCAGAAGAAGCAGCCTTTGTCGTTGCAGTTACTGCAGAAGTGCAGAATGCCATGCCGGTTTCCGACGCGGTGCTCGCAGCTGAGTGGGTGGACAAGTACGTGGAGGGTGACTCTGGTGTCCTGCTGGAGGTTCAGTCGGCGATCCTGCAGAGAAACTGCAAGCATGTTTCAGAGTTGGGCACCATCCAGCAGATCATGAACTGTCATGCGGGAAATGCGCCTGTCACATCCAGCAGTGCTACCACACACATGGTTCAGTTGGAGTCCGAGAGTTTCCAGCTTGTCATGAAGCAGCTGGCATATGACTGCCAAGCACTGCGAGTGGCAAGGTCCAAGAAGAACACGTGGGAGTCGACAGTGTACCATGCAAAACTCCAATTCCGAGTACAAGCGTACCAGGAGTCGTGCAAGGCAGCGAAGCACTTCCTTGACTCGAATTGCCACATCTTCAACTACAGCAAGCCGGAGATGATGGCAAACTCAATCCTCGCATACTGCACAGACACGACACAGAAGTTCAAGCTGGACAAAACGGCGTCAGTGTTTGACTGAGCTTCTCCCACAAAATAAGTAACACTCATCACATAGTATAACAGGAGATGGGCTTCAAAACCAAACCTTGTTTGTGAGGCAAGCTTGTTCTTCTTGAATTGGTCGGCGCCGTGCACCATCAAGAAGGGTGCCAAGAGTGCTCAGTTGGCATCCTGTCAGGCAGTGCTGGCATCATCAGAGAACAACATCGGGATCATGTTGCAGCCTGAATTCACCTACAAAAAGAATCAGCTTTGGATGTTGGAGAATGCCCACGCAAAGGACCTAGCTTCCCACGGCATTAGCCTCGACAAAGGATGGATTTTGATGTTCAAGGAGAAGGTGAGCGTGTAGGGTGACAAAGTTAGTTGTGTAGATTTGCCAAATAGCAGCTAAATGTGAACAGGGTATTTGATTTTATCTGCTCCCTTTTTTTTTCATGGTCACCTGAGAGTCAGTCTCCAATCCAGGTGGATCAGCGTGACAACCTGCGGCCTCTGAACTACAGGGGACGAGTTCTTGAGGGTGCCATTGCAAGGGTTGCCCCCAAAGACAACATTTGGAAGAACGCTGCCATCCTGAAGGAGGGCCGCACGGAGCCTGCAACACAGGTCTCCTCGAAGGAGCTCGTTTTCATTGAGACCGCAGATGAGTCAGCAGAGGTTGCCCTGGCTGCTGATGATTCGGTTCAGGGTGGCAAGAAGGTGGAGCAAATTGGCGCCTGCGCGTGCACCAAGATTCTTTCGGGCATGCTGGATGATTTGCAGCTGGCTGGCCGGGCCGGCGTTTTCATCATTGACGCCCACATGAATGTTGGCAACATGTTCGACGCGTTCACTGCGATCCGCTCCAAGTACAACTTCCCCATCTTCTACATTGGGGCAAGTGACGATGAGAACTGTGTGAGCTGGTTCTTTGAGACCAAACAGGACCTTTGGGTAATGAATAGAATAAAATGTGTTTGCTTCATCCCTGAAATGTCTGATACATCATGATGGCCAGGCAGAGATTTTCTTGTTCTGGGGCTTCTAGTCCTCCTGACTTGCAGTCTTTGTGGATGTTGGATATTTAGAACATGGAGCATGGATATCTGTGCCAGAAGTGGAGTTTCAGCTAATGTTCTCTCGCGCAAACACTAGCTACATACCCTTTTTTTGCCTTCATTCAGGATGCCCTGGCCCGCCTCCACATGTCTGGCGATTTGACTGTGCCTGGCTTCACGAAGGCTCCTGCTGAATGTCCAGATGATCTCTTGGAGAAAGAGCCTGCGCTGCCGCCCCTCAATCTGATGACCCCCACAAAGTGCTTGTATCCAAAAGTCCCTGCGAATGTGATCAAGGCCTGGTGTCTTCAAAGACCTCTTATTCGGGTTTAGGTTCTCGCTGCTAGTACTTGCATATAGGCTTCCTTTCTTGGCATTGAAATTGACCCTCCAGGAGTGGTCGACTCACCCGACCCATGGACAGGAATTCAGAGATTATCTGGACAGCTTGATCGCCGAGTTCGGTCCGTGCCCAGAGGAGGCCGAGCCGAAGCCCGATGGAGGCAAGACGGATGAGAATAAGACTGGGGGCACAGCAGGAGCATCTGGCACTGGGACCGGCGATGGCAAGTCCAAGACCGTCGTGCCGAAGCGCAGGATCTCTGGGTCTGGCTTGCCAGACTCCAAGCGCAGAAAGGTCGCGGGCGACAAAGTGACCACCATCGAGTCGGTTGGGCGTGAGTCAGTCTTGGTGGAGGCGCCAATGATCAACGTGAAGGCCACTGGGGTCTCCCTAGTCTTAAAGGCTGGCGGTCGTGGCTATGTCTTCAATGGAGGCTCAAGCGAGACAGTGCTGA